GGTTGCTGTTAGTGACTTTCCTAACAGATGAGAATTGGTCTCCGTAAAGCAGGTTTCTTTATCTCAGCACCCTGGAGCCAGCCATGGCTTCACCCCTGCAGCTCGAGTGGGTCCCTGTGCCTTCCTGTACATCACTGTCTGCCCCTGAGGGATGGGGAGACCTGACCTCTGAAAATGACCCCATTTGAGTTCAGCCGTTTGGCCTTGTAAGTTGAGCAGCAAAGAGTCATGAGATCTTTATGCAGCTGTGAACCGTCCGGCCCTCTTTGGGCTGGGAATCCAAATGTTGATACTAAAAGGGAAAAAGCAGTTTCTTACCATGGTGACAGTAGTTCTGCAGGGAAATTAGATATATATGGCCATGCTCATCTCTCCTTTGCTGCTTTCTGGAGTCGCACAGGAAAGCCTTGGTTTCACAGGGAGTCCTAGGGATTGGTCATGAATATAGACTGAGATCAGCATTTACCCATATGAAGATTGGTATAATAATAGTGACTTCATTCACAAAGGCCTTTGAGGTCTATGGATGAAAAACTCATTATAAAGACTAGGTATTATCTGTGCAAACTGGTTTTACAGAGCCACAGTTACCAAAGGAGGGGTTCTTGACGAAGATGACAAAATGATTCAGGCTGCCGTCTTCATCACGGTTTCTTTCTCCTTTTCCTTCTGTTCCTGGTGTTTGTGTAAATCTGTGAATGCTGGAAACAGCTCCTGAAAACATGTTTACAGACATTCCTAATGAGACTTTTTGGAATGCAGCTACTATTCAGAAAAACAATAATGCAGGCTGAAAATGCCTCCCTTTTCCAGTAACTTTTGTTCATATTGCCTTGGTAAACATTAATTTTTCTTTTTTTCCTTGTAATTCAAATGGAGCTTGAAATTAAAATAGCTCTATTTGTTCACCTCCTTGTTTGCCTGCTACTAGCGCTGACCTCAGCACTAACCTCGAGCAGGTTTGTTAGTCTGATGGTTCTTACAGTAGCAGTGTTCAAGCTGTGTAGATCCTGTCCAGCAGTAACTGTCACTCAGTTTCTCAGTAGCAAATGCTAAATGAAACCAAAAGCCCGCCCCGCAGGTGGAGGATCCCCAGGACAGGGCTGGGAGGGTCACTCGAGTGGTCCCTGTTACGTCCTGTAGCAGTGAGGGATCTGCGAAGATGCTGAGTACGTACAGAGCGAGTCAGACCCGTGTTCCCTGTGTGGTACCCTGGGCAGTGCTTCTGAACTCAGCGCCACTATCACAGACTTGAATTTAGCAAACACTTCAGGGTGTTGAGCTGGGTAAGGCCCAAGTCCTCAGTGTGCAATAACATCAACATCAATATAAATTCTGCTGCGTGATGGAGTCTGCATGAAGAGCCCCAGCAATATGTGTAAGAGCTCTCTGACACACTGCTAGTGTTTTACTGGGAGGCATTTACCAACACCCACTTCAGAACATAGCACTGCTCCTTTTCTGTTGGAGTTGAAACCCTCTGTCCAACTTGGTTGTTCACTGTTGGGTGTTCAGGTTCCATTTTTTCTATTTAAATAAAGGTAACATTTGCTATAAAACACATCTCTGGTAGGATAATTCCAATTAACATTTTTAGAAATCCCACACATAACCCAGGGTCAAGCGTTTAAACCAGAACAGGAGCTACAGGTTATCTCCATCTGAGCTGGCAGCAGCAGTGTATACGGGCATGCGCTGTGGATGTGATACTTTACATGGATTGAAAGTGCAGGAGAAGAAATGAATACAAACAGATCTGCTAAAACCAAATATAATGATTTCATGTTATCTTTTCCCATTGGTTACTTAGGGTAGAGGGATGTGTGAGTTTTACTGCTGTAAATCAGTCCTACACTGCACGTGGTGTGCTGTGAGATCGTAAGTGAAAGATGTGGTTTACACGCAGGGTTTGTGTGTTCAGGGCAGTACCCTGAGACATGGGTAATATTGTTAGTGGAGGTGCAGCCTGAAGGCCCTAAAAGGGTGGCACTGGCTGTCCACATGAGACCTGTCCCCTGTGGCCTAGTGAAGAAAGGAGAAGGTGATGGGATGGGGGGTGATGGTGAGGCTGTTGGGTAGCAGGGCAGGAAGGAGGGACAACACCTCTTTGATAACCAAAGAACATGCTTTCTTTTCCTGAGGTACGTGCACCTCTCCTGACAATGGCATTGGTGCTTTTTGCCTTACGTTAGTTACTGATTGCTGGTTTGTTTAATGAATTGGGTAGGAAATAAACAAGTTAGAGCTAGCTACTGACCTATCAATTATGATGTGTGATTGCTCCTCCGGGGAACATATGCAGTCATTTGTCCTGACATTTTGCTAAAATAAGGTGGTATTATGGGACCAATCCACCTAATTCCTTACTCCCTGGGGCCATTTAGTGTACTTAGCTGTTAGAAAGGTGATTTCTGAAGCATGACAGCTGTTGGTGTTGGGGCCATTGTGCGGTGAACAAAACCGTTATATCCTGCTCATGTGCCGCCTTTGTGCCCTGGATACAGAAGCCATTTCATAAATTAGGCACAACTCTTCCCTGAGAAATGGTGTTGCTGCTTTGTGTTTCATCACTGGGGTACATGGAAAACAAACCCCACACAGCCTGCAGCGGGAGGTGTTTGAACCTGGCATTTCTGCAAGCCCGTGGGGTTGATCCCATTAGCTGCTGCAATTCCTGTCGACTTACTCTGGTTGATGAGGTACATTGCAAGTAGCATCTTTTCATGTTCTTTTTACCTTTTTGTTAGTGTGGTTAAAGCCACATTTTGGCAGACACATTGCTGATATTGTTCTGCCAGAAGGCTTGGCTTGGCTTTGCTGGAAAGCTGCAACTCTCTGTGCAGCACAAAAGCCTGTTGGAGTTCTCATCTGGGGTTCACAACCCCAGGACTAGGGCCTGAAGCAGTGTCCTCAGTGCCCATCTGTGGGACCATGAGGCCCCCGCGCGCCCCCGCAAAGCAGTGTCAGATGTGTACTTGGGGCAGACCTCCTTAGTGTGTCACAAAACCGGAGTCCAGGTCTTATTTAAGGCGGGAGGGCAGTTGGTTCTTCCCATTCCTTCGCATCTTTCCAGTGATGCATGTTCCCGATGAGCCAGAAAAGGGTTTCTGGTTTCAGAAATGTGGAAATGGTATGGATCTATTGTCATTTATGGCCAAACCCCGTTTACCAGCAGACCCTACTGCAGGAATGGTTTAGCCATGCTGAACAGCACTAGCTTTGGAGCAGGGTCTTAGGCTGGTTCAAGGGCGTGTGTTCAGCTGACGATTCAGGCAGCTCTGCAGTGGGTCTGTGCTCAGCCCTGGCTCGTCCCGTCGCCGCTCGGTGCTGGGCTGCCGGGGGCCTGCGGG